ATCCCATTTACATCTCGTGTGCGCCGAATCCAAACTAATTTTGGACACGATAATCCTCGGTGTGACATGGAGCCGAAAAGCAATGAAATATATCATTTATTAATATTATTTCTCTTTTCTTCGTTTTATAGGAAATAAAAAAAACATCATATTACATCTCGCATTTATTCGAAATTTAATATAATATAATAAAAATCTTTTTTTTATGAGAAACTCGTCATATCGTTCTCAAGATGTCTCCCAAAAAAAATAACGATATAAAAGCTGGGACAGCGCAAGGGTGGGGGTGAAAACGGGACGAAAAGACGTGCGAACAAATTCTCCTCTAATTAATACCCGACCACAATGGCGGAAAGCGCCGCAATTTCTCGGCCTTAAAACCAATTTGTTGCCCGCACTTGGGCTCCTTGCTTCCCCTTCGGAACGGCGCGACGCCCGGGCCTGTATTATGCTTAGGGTTTGGCCATTATGTTTCCCCGGTTTTGCCGAAACAATACAACGTATAAGCGGTCGTCGCGCTACGTCCCGACGTAATATTACGCCAGCTGATTTATATCGCCTATTCTGCGACCCGCTCTGCAACATTACATTCACTCACTAAGCGATCGGGATCATTATGATGCAATAAATGTTCGGGACGGACATCGAAAGAATTCCGCGTACGAAGAAAGTTTCTCTTCCTTGAGGAGATCATCGACACATAAATCATACGCGCGTGAAGGCATTCAAATCAGACTAAGGAGAGAAGAGCCTAAATGCCACGAGGCGTTTATTGTTTTAATTACGATAATATTTCAAACGAGATGAAATATTTGTGCTATAATGCATTATTTTCGCCATTATATATTGTATTAGGAATAATTATTTCTTAAATAAGTTGTGTATTTCGTAGGACAATTACAATTCGTAGATGTATCCGCAAGTCACATTAGAGGAATGAATATAAAATTCTTACGCACGAGAGATCACTCGAACTATCTTATTCTCCTTGTTAAACAAAACAAGAATTCGCTGTATCAGCGTAAAGAGCTCTCGGTCGTTCTAATATTTCCGCGCAATATCGCCGCCGTCATTTACGAAACGCCGGATAGTTTGTATAATGCAACGACGGGACGTGTCTCTGTATGTTTGCGCAATATCCCTTTACGGAGTTCTTTTATGGACGACGGAGTAGAGATTCTTTGAAAAGACGTCGGATAATTCAGTCGGTACTGTCTTAAATATGATTATTATAATTAATATACATATGCACATATATTTAACGTTTAGAGATTAATATTATTAGATGTTAATTAATTAATTAGCCAGAATTCCATAAATTTGTGTTTATTCTGAATATGAGCCTTCGGCATAGATAATAATTTCATTAGGATTAATATTACTGTTGAGATTCATCAAATGTCAGATGATTACGTTTCAATAATTAATGCGTTAAATAACGACAGTGAAGTGCAATGTGATAATAATCAATAACAAAGGAATGCTATACATTTCCATTTTCAGTTCTTAATAATTAATCTGCATGGATTCTGAATTTATCCTGAATTTAATACTGTATTAAAGTAAACGTTATAAATATGATTATTTTATAGCTTAATTAACATTTTATCGAACTTGTTATGTTTGTATATGTAATGTTAATCTTTAAGCATGTAGGTTAAAAATTTAAAGATACATAATGATAGGGAAGGGAGGTGCTCAAAATACCTCAAATAAAATTTAATTTTATAGTTATATTTTTTATTAATATATTTTATGTATTATGTTATAGTTAAATTTGCATTAATTATATCCTTCTAAAATAGAGGATTGTAAAAGAAATGAACTTTAAAACTTTGGGCATTGCATTGACTATCTGGGTAATATTTTTTGTTTTCATTTTCCAGAACAGAAAAAACTAGACTTAAGATGCTGTGACCATCCCATCTACCCGTTTAAAAGTTAAATTTCACAATTTATATAGAAAGATATAATAAAGTAGAAAAAACATTTCTCTTTTGAGAATGATAACTCAAAAAGAATGTCAATATGCAGATCTCTGCACACGACACAAAGTAATATTCAATCGAACGGGCACCGCGATAGTGAACGCGAGTTTCGTGAGAACGGATAGTAATTTTTTTCTTTTTTTTTTTTTGAGAACTGTTTAAACATGTCGCCCGCATTTTTGAAGCCCAATCTCAGATAGATTCGTCAGCTGTAACGCACGATATGACGACTGTTCTCATTGCCGCGCAGACCTCGTAGTTTTGCTTGAGACTAAACGCGAAATTAAATCCGGTCATGTAAACGACCGTCATGTATACCCTGTCACCGGTTACAAACGCAAGTCACGAATCCGTAGCACACAGAACGCGTCTTTTGCTTTTATTTACGGTTCGCCTGCTCGCACTGCGAAGCCGTCGATTTAATTCCGAAAGTTACCGGCGTCGCGACGGCGACGCCGAGAAAGAGACGCCCCGCCTTGTACGACGCGATACGGCGACATGTGTCCGTAATGTCTGCGTAACACGTGAAACTTCTTGCATTTAGTTGCATCGATACTATTCCTTTGAACGACGGAAAAGAAAGGAATCTCGAAACGAGTTCCATCAACGCTTAGCATTCAATAGTAAAGCTTTCTACAATATCGATGTGTTTTACGAAATTTGCCTTCACAGGTTCTTTGACTCTCTAGAAGCGAATGTTGCATCTTTACAGCGTTCACTTTAAAATTAAATTCGGGATAAATTCAGAATAAATTCAAGATCTGTGCAGAGTAATCACACTTAAGAACTGAATATGTTAATGTAGCATTTATTGACTATAGAAATGTAGTATCTCTAATCGATACATATCGATATATATTGATCGTCTATATAATATCGATAGATAACTTCACTTGTAAGTCATTTTTAAGCAGACAGTAAAAATTAATTTTTTTTTATATAAAGACGATGCCTAGAGGAATAATCCATATTTAAATCAATATTTATTAACAGAGATAGAGTAAAATAATTTTTTATTTTTTATTTGATCATAATTTTAATTTTTATTGAAATTTAAAAAAAGTTATTTATGTATAATAATCTTAAAATTGATCAATTTTGATGGTGTTAATGGCATCCGACTAATTTTTTGTTACGAAAAGCTCTTTGAGTAAATCCAAGAATTTCTACGAAAAATTTATAGAATTTCTTTAGTTTTTATTTAAACAGCACATTTTTTATTCACGGAAAATGTCACTTCGCATGAACTATGAATGCGGCTCATATTAGGGTGAAGATATTAATACGCTGCACGCAACGCGATGCATTCGTGCGTGTTACGTGCGTGCGTAGGATTTTTTTCCATTTATTTCCCCGTGTCTTTTAGCTGAGCGTTTTTACAACCACTCGCGAGTCGACATCTTTATCGTTGTCGTTATATAAGTTCAATGTACCTTTTGGTTAGTACTGCTTCGCTGATTAACCCTTTCAACGCCGATGGCATTGCGCGAAGAGTTGCGCAATTTATGCGCATACATTTCACTTGCGCGCCCGATTTCACCATTTTCTTCTTAGTCATCCCTTACACGAGGTCAGGCACCGAGCAAGAGACGAATGCAGTACAGTGTTTTAGCGTGATTAAGGTAAATGAGTTCTAGTTACGTTCCATCACGTAACTTTTGTTGCGTGATTTTGAGCAGACACGCGGTAGACATTAACACATTGTTTATGTTTATTATTTATATATGTATTATACAGTGACTACCAAAAGTTCCCAACCAACATATAATTTTACCATAACTTTTGTCGATCTGTTTTTCAGCTTATATTATAAGTTAATAAAATTTCAGTTGTTATATAATCACACAACTTAAAAATATATTTTATATACTACAATATATTAAGTTTTTGTATACTAGATCTTTGTTTATAAAAATATTTTATCTGAGTAATATGATTATTTCTTGATCAGAAACTTTTGGTAGCCATTGTGTATGTCGTATGTGTTTATTATTTATATTTGATAATGTGAGTAGATTATTTGGAAATACTATTTAAATACTTGAATGTATAGGAAATAGTTTACAAAATACTTTACAGTACCAAAATTGTCAAATTCTAATGAAAACATGTTTAAAGTTTGCAATTTGCAACGCTGAATGAATTTCTATCTCAATTTATCATCTTATTTAAAATAAATCTTGGTTGCTGTACTTATATAATAATTTTTTTATGATAGTATCGAAACGATAATAACGTTTTTTATGCCATACGAGAGAAATTAATTTCTACTGATAATGTTAATAACTTTCGCTTCATACATTATCAAGATCTGTTAATAGCATCTAAATGTCATGAGGGAGAAATGATTCATTTTTATTAACACAGCGCAAAGTTGGGACGTGCATTTCCATATGAAACACGCATCGCTCACTTTTGCATTGCGTGACTAATTCATCACACGCACCCTAAACACTCCACGTAGTTCGAGTAATCGTACTTGTTTTAACACGCCGGTTCGCCCTTTCTTTCCCTCTTTGATGTTTTTCCGTATTTTTTTTTCTGCCTGGTCATTAACGATTCTTTTGTGCGGAAAAAGACCACTCGAACAAATTGCCTAAGAAAACGTTTACAACATTAGACTTCAGGCAGAATAATTTGTCGACAAAGTATTATCTTAAAAATAACAAATTATAGATTAACTGAAATAAATAAGAAATAAGTTACCAAGTTTTAAGGATATCGATTTATCATAACATATGTAAGATTTAGATGTTTCTGTATAAAATTTAGCATTTCTACGTTTTGTATATGTAGGTATATGAAATTAGAAAATTATATAACATTAGAAGTAATAATTTTGTATTTTTAAAAAATATAATAGTGTACTTGTTACTTTTTTTTAGTGTTTCCTCTTTAATAGTGACTTCAATAAATTTGATGTTTGTGAAGCTTTATTGCGGAGTTCCTTCATTTATCATTATATACATATCTACCTCGACATTTATTTTTGATTCTATTTTTTTGTTACAGCTTGGTTTCTTCACGTACTATACAGTAGCGATGGGTGAGGTGAATCCCTCCGGGCCGGTGCCGATCGACAGTGTCTTTATTTACAGACCAGACAAGCGGCTCGAACTCTGGAGGTTTGCCTTCTACATGTTCCTGCACGCTGGGTGAGTCGTGATTTTCTTTATTAACGACATTTGATTGGATATTTTGCGCATTCGATCTTTTTTTTCCATCTCTCGATTCAGCTGTTTGCGTAATTGCAAGCGTATCTCTCGCGAATATACATATTTAACAGATATTTGTGGTGTCATATCTCGATAATATCGGATCTCTCGATCGAATCTCTCAATGCCGCGTTATCCTTGTGCCCTGCCAGAACGCGTCTGCAATTCGATTCTCTCTTTGCTTCGTGATATGCAAGTGCATCGTTAATTTTCTCTATCATCACAGAGAGAGAAACGCCAATGTAATTTGAGAAGCACACGTTTGCTTTTATATCACGTATCAGCGCGACTTTATGTAACGTTCCAAACCAACGTTTTTCGCACTAATGGTTACAAAAGCAAATCTGCTTCATTGTGCATTCAAGTTATCGAAGATGTCGCAGGCGAATTTGCGACTAGAAAAATACGAGAGAGAGAGAGAGAGAGAGAGAGAGAGAGAGAGCCCAGACGAGTCGATAAAACCTTCGTGAAACTTTAGAGCGATGACAACTGTGAAGAACGCATTTTTCGTCTCCCCCAAAAATTGCATTCACCAAACAATCTTGGCTCCCGATTATCTCAAATAAATGGTCTACGGCATATAGACACAGATTCCATTATTTGTTGAAAACGTCATTATTACAATATTATCGGCGATGAATAATAAAATTTAATTTAAGCGTCGCGGCGGAATATTATTCATTTTTGTGATATTGCGTCGCGATATTGTATCATATTTACAGTAATATGAATTGTAATATAAAAGACAAGAAGAGAATCAAACCGAAACTCTGAAATTGATAATGGCACCGTGATGCGAATTATCACGATATTACAGTAGTTAAAAAAAAAAGGGATCAAGATAAACCACGTCCCAGTCGTGCTTTTTGCTCCTTTTTTTACCCCTTTTTTTCGCGGACTTGCAGAATCAACTTACTGCATATGTTTGCGCGTGCTCTGCAAATTTAGTTCAACCCAAAACCATATCTTTTATTGTTCAAAAAAAATATACAATATGCTTTTTACGTTTTGTCAACAATAAAGAATGCAGGTCGCAATCATATCTGGATTTCGCAGAATATCAAAAGGAAAGAAAAGCTCTCAGAAAAATATAAAAGAAAATAAATAATAAAGGAAAATATTATAAATATATAGTAAAATAATAGATAAAGAAAATGAAATGTACGTTACCAGATAGACTTTTCACGTATTTTGTTATTGGAAAGAAACTTTCTTTGTATATAAAATATCGAATGTGCTCTGTTGGAAGTGACACGATAAAATCTTTAAAACAAATCTTAATATTTTAGTGAAGAAAATTTAATATGTAAAAAGATTAAAATTGACAGACCTATCTCTCATTACTTAAGAATGTATTTTATAACAAAAAGAAAAAATTATTAAATAATTATCAATTATTCTGTATTGTATTTGAAAATAATTCAAAAAGTTTGGCAACGATTTAGAAATTATGGAGCAAAAATTATTTCAATAATAAATAGACATTTTAAAAAATAATTGAGATAAAATGAAAACATTTTTATTTAAACTATAAAATTGTATTGTTAAATTTTATAAATATTAACTTTATTGAACATGTATATAACATTCGTTTCTATACTCAAAGCATAAAAATTTCCAATTCCAGTCACTTTTTCACAGAACTTATACACCTAATATATCCTTAAATCCCTTTCTTCCTCTACAGAAAATTCGTTTACGATTACAAGAGACAAACCGCGGAAGTAAGACACTCGCGTGCACGAGACCTGCCTAGGCGAAACACATGCGACTCTGTGCATCTACGATTAGCCACCTGTGTCCATCATGGACGTTAGGCATTGAGTCACTCAATTAATTATAGCCAATTGCAATCCCTGTACCATGTTGTTGCATGTCACATTGATTGAATTCGAGCGACGCGACGTCGTGTAGGAAACAAAATTGTATAAACGTTTTGGTATGCGTTTTATTCTCTCACGCCGCGGTAAAGTGGAGCACAGGGAGAAGGTGGCAGCTTTCTTCGTTCACAGCTATTTTTCCACCGTGTCTTTTGCTCTCATTTTCTTTTCGCTTGCTCCCTCTGGTTTTTACCACCACTTTCTGTTCTCCCCAACGACTTTTTTTGCTCTCCTCTTGACTTCTCCCATCCCTCGCATTCCTTTAGACGCATCAACATTTCTATACTCTCTCCTATGAAATGAAAAGAGATCGAGAGATGAGACCGACGGACGACTCTGTATGCTTGTGCTCTCTCTCTCTTTCTCTCTCTCCCCTCTCTCGCTCTCTCGCCGACAGAGTAGAAGTTTTCAGTACGCGAAGCTCTCTAAATTATTCATGGAAACGCCAGATAAGACGACCGTTTTCCGTACGTGCGTATGGAAACGACGATAAGAGTGACCTCACCGCTGTTTTCTTTCCTATAGAAAGTATGCATTCGCCCAATCTTCGCCGCTCTTCCTTTCTTTTATTCTCTACTATGCTCTTTGCTCTCCTATTCCATTTCTGATATTAGACTCTCCTTATTTAACGCATTCCTTTTATCTTTTATTTCTCTTTGCATTCTGCGCGGTGCATTTATCTTCACCTTATCTTTTCTTGTGTTGATTTCGCTTTTTTGTATAAATCGGTTATTAATGTTTCTTTCATTAACTTTCCTTTTTTTTTCTTGATACTAATCTTGTTATTTATTATGAATTTTTTTATATTTATATGTACATTGAAATATCGCATGTTTTGAGGCTCTAAACGTAACAACAAGGTTATTACCATTTCACTTCTAAACCATGAAATTCAGGGTTTTGTTGATGTCTGCGCTATTCACGCTACTTACATGCGTCTAATACCCGTTTCCACCATTGTAGATTAACTTTAATCTCGGTTCAACTTACTCTTTATCTTCTTTTACTTCTTAAAACTAGACAAAGATAAAGAGTTAGTTGAACCAAGATTAAAATTAAACGACATTGCCAGAAAGGGGCATAATTCGAGGTTTTGTGCATTAATTCGAGGTTCGTTATTACGAGGTTTCAATGTACCTAATTTGTCCACGTTCTTATAGTCTTCTGATGCTACTGGTAGTACTTAACTTGCGTATTGCACCGTTATTTTCTGTTACAGTATTGCTCAAACGGGACTTTAGTCTCGTTTATCTCTGATTGTACCTAATATCCTTCGTTTCTACTTCGGTTCTTCTCCTTTTCTTAAACTTCTTTTACTGCACCTTTGTCTTCCTTTTTATCGATTATTTCATTCATCGATTCGCGCTCTCGCGGCAGTTGGATTATTAATGCGAGCAACGCCCCACGCGCGTCCATCAAAAGTCATTTCTCCAAGCATTACGTGATCCCGAAAGAAATCAGGAGCAGTAGAGAGATAAGATATACGTTGTAACGCGCGCGGTAAGTCGAAGATAAATTTCGTAGAAGCTGATGAATTCGTTCGTGGGACGGATCTCCGGGGAAGATACTCTACGCGTATCTGGACAGATCCATTTAGAATTGCGTCTCGGGAAAACCATAAGTATATCGCGGCAAAGAATAAGGATAATAGAGCAATCGGTTTAAAAAACTTTGTATATTCATGTTATCGACGTCAGTGATTCTCGGATCGATCATGTACGCGCGAGCGTTATGTGTCGCTTACACTAATTGGTATAAATCGAGGTTATGATAAGCGGTATAATGCATCAGCGGTGACACACGAGCTGCCAGAAGAGACCAAAAGCGCGATCCATAATCGACGAGTAAAAAGTCTGACGCTTCAGCCGGGCGACAGGCGATTAATTATAAAAACAAGATGGCTCGCGCTATCGAGCGCCTTTTTCCGTCTCCGCGTAACGCCCGTTACCTCCGCCAGACGTTATCGAGCTTCCTTCGTTATTAATGTGAAAACTGTCTTTGCCGTCGTGCTCCGAAGTCGCGACTCCGTCCTATTTCACCGTCTCTTTCTCTCCCTCTTCCTTCGTGTTCGCGCGCGATGCCCGCGTGAGAAAGCCGGAAGCGCGGAAAAATCGAGACAATCGCCGTAATTGCGGGAAGTCAACGCGCGCGACAGCGTTGTCGGAGCAGACACAATGGTATCGCCGAGTCCGCAAAACACGGAGCCGCACCGAAAAGATCAGGACGCTCGAGACAGGACGCGCTTCCGCATTTCGTCGCCTGTGGTACATCGATTCGTGCGAATCAAGCTTGAATTCACGGAGGACGCTTTGTTGCGCCCGAATCGTCGCTGGACATGTTCATTCGTGTTCGAAAAACGCGGCTTGCAAGAATCCGGTGACGAAGGATTTTTATTTTCTTTGGTACCTAAAATCACGCTTTTAAGCAGTTAATGCTTCCTTAAATAGATGCATGTAGTAAGTATAATATATCGATACTATTTGCATTGCTGCGCATCGAACTTTTATAATGATTGTATACCTATACTGAAAAAAATAATCAACAGCATTATTTTAATTAAAAATTTTATTAATTCACACAATAACATTATTAATGGAACAAATACGTCACGTTCTCGTTTTGATAAAATTTTATTTATTTTATTAATGATGTGTTATCGGATGTATGAATTAAAATAATCCTGTTAATATTACATTATTTTTTCAGTGTTTGAAGGAAAAGCAGCTTTTTAAATTACAGATATAAATAATTAAAATTATACTTATTGTATATTATATATTGTTTGCTTATATACACATATATTAAATTTAGTTACTTTAGTTACGGAAACTTCGATTTCTCTTTATTTTCTTTATCAATATCCACAAACACAAAATTAAATATACTAGATTCTTTGCAAGAAAATTTATATAGTGCTACTAGCGGTGCAACACGCAAACGTAAGATAATGTGCTGTCTTCTTCGTGAGAACGCTCGCAAACGCGGCATCTTTCGGGCTCCGTAAATCATGCCAAAGTTCCTCACTGTGGAGAAGAAGGGAAAAAAAGAATACGCCCGAAT